CGGAGGCGGAGGCGGAGGCTGAGGCCAAGGCGGAGGCCGAGGCCGAGGCTGTGCAGGCTGAGGTTGAGGCCGAGGCTGTGCAGGCTGAGGCTGAGGCTCTACTCTCATTGGTTCCACCCATTCAAACAACAGACTCGTCAATAATTAAATAAATTTAACCCCCGACAAAAAAAGAAAAAGTGATTTACTCTTTCATAGAAAAACTAAAGCAGTACTCGATATAACGTTGGACTTTTTGTTATGTCTTGTACAAGTAAATATTGAGGACAGAGGGAATTGAATGCAAGAATTTGGTGAACGAGTAAATACTTTAACTGCTGAAGGATCCTTACCAATATAATTTTGGATTGATTAAAAGTGATTAATTAATATTTTTTTGTTGATAAAAGAGCGATAGTATTTTATTGATAAGATAAACAAAACAAGTACAAGGCAACTAAGGTGCTGAATATGGATACAATTTCTCTAGTTACCAAGTGCAACAAGAAGTTGAATTGATCTGGAGAGAATACGCACAACCCAACAAATGATTAAAATCTCCGAATCAACAATGACAAACACATGTACTCAAACTTGCAATAAAGATTTGTCGCACAACGAAAGAAACGACAAATCTGTATCGAAAGCCAAAAGCCAAAATAAAATAAAATATGCTAAACAAAAAGAAAATCACATCAAACTTGATAAAAGCCGTAGTGATTAAGTAATTCTTGATCAAATTTCTCTAGAGTACTCTACAGAAGAGATAGACCGTCGTTGAATTTCTTTTATAAACTTCAACATGCAAAATCTATGGAAGCGAAAAGTCAATATATAGAAAACAAAAAAGTTATTTAGTCAACATTGGTGGAAATTTTTGAAAAAATGAAAGAAAACAATTGTTCGAAATTCAGGATCATATATTTGAGAGAAATACAATACAAGCCATAGAAATGATGCAATTCTCAAGTTCTAATTAGGTTGTCACTCCATGATCACTCTCCTTCTTGGCATATTCTCTCGCTTTTTAGGGATACACAACAACTTCTTCAAGAGAAACTAATTTTGTAGCAGACGTTATGGAAAATCTAGATCTAGGGATCTAGGGTACACTCAGTCTCACTCTTCTACTGGGTTCTCCATTTTTTTTTTCCTTATAAAATTAAGTGTGATGTACGGAATTTAGGTATCCGACGCATATCATCCTTGTAATTTTTACTCTGGTGAAAGAAAAAAAAAGTATTTACAGGAGACTCAAAAAGAAAAAATCGGTGATAAAAGCACTTGACTATCACATCCATCCTGAATAAATAAACTAAAGAAGCATGAATTCAAGGTTGTTTCCCACGACAAGCATACACAACCAATCTGTTTAAATATTAAAAGATTATGCGATGAAACAAGCTAGAAACGGATTACATACATACATACAGGGTAATGTTTTTTTTTTTTACCAGACATATACTTATATTATCGGACTCAGAATTTGAACTCCATGTTCAAGCACAAATTGCCGTAATGAAGAATTAAATTAATAGTCTAACAACATAAGCAAGTAATTGCAAGAGTACAATTTGACAAGAGTAGATTTGAGTGGATATAAAGAAGTAGAATTAGTGAAATTATACCTCTTAAACGTTGCTTCTTGCAGCCCAAACACTGCATTAATTTACACACACACACAAAGCAGGAAACCCGTTAATCACCGGCATGCAAGAGCAGAGAGAGAAAATTCAGATAGAGAGATGGATGGTTTGGTTGACTTACGTTTCCCATTTTGCTGTGTTTTTTCTTGTCACTAGCTGGATGGAAATGGGGAGAGATATGGCAACTATATAAAGAGAGAAAAACAAATACGGATTTTTATGATTGATTAATTTGTAATTCGCCCAAACAAGGCTGATGTTTCCTCGTAAACTAATATGATGGCAGGTGGGTTGAGAGAGAGAGTGAGAGAGAGAGGGTCTTTGTTTATGTTTGGTTATGAGCACGGTCATTGTTTATATGGATCATTGACTCACTAGTAGTAGCTAGCAGCTTGGTTTCACATTCATGATTGAACTGCCCCAAATTCGGGAATTAGTACAAAATACATATTAATGTGACCGTCCAAGTTTTAGCTATGATTATGATAATGTTCATTGTTTTTTTTTTGGACCTTTTCTATTGAATTTCCTATTGAAAGGGGCGATAATATACTTGTTTGGGCGTGTTGAAAATCCACCCAATCCGAGCACTTGATGAAACGAGCAGCTTGGGGTATTGAAACTTGGCAGTCGGGTGTGGAGCTTGAAGAAGTGATGCGGCCGGTACCTAAGGATGTGGCGGCTGGGTTACGTGGCTAGGAGGATGGGCCGAGCTGCGTTCGAGCTTGGCTTGAGAAGTGCGATTGGATTATGCCCGACCGGGTTTTCACATATAACTGGGCAGCCAAGGGAAGCTTGGGCACGGCCAGGATATGGAGCTGGGGCACAACCGGGTTTTGGAGTTCCTGGGCTTGCAAGGGAGCGGCCGGATACGTTGGAGTTCGAGGCCGGATCTGCTGGACTTGAGCGGCCGAGTTTCTTGGAATTGCGGCCGAGACTTGGAAAGCCAAGGCAAGCTGGGCTACACTCTATTGCGGCCGGGATAGCTCGAGATGTGGAGAATAGGCGGCCGAGATGTGCGACTAGGTGTTGATTGATTATTGCAACCGGGCAGCTAGAGCATCACGGCCGGGGTGTGAATGGAAGATATCGGCCGGGTATTTTGGTTTAGAGCTGTAGAATGGAGCGGCTGAAAAGTTTGGTTTCTTTACGAACTGGGCCGAAAGGGTTTTTTTTTGGTGAAAACCAAGGTATCCTCCGCGCGATTGCGGGGACTAACCCTCGAGGTACTGTTGGGCGCAAAGCGGCGACCTCTCCCAACAAAGTCTGCTCTATTCGCAAGCGTCTGGGATCGAACCCAGGACCTCTTGTTTAAAGGATCCAAGCCCCTTCCACTTGGACCAACTCCTGTTGGTGGCCGAAAGGGTTTTGAGTTGGGCATTAATTGAATTATTATAATATATATATATATATATGTATGCGTGTATAGCTAAATGAAATCAAACAACTGAATGCGGCTGGAGCCCTTTGATTGGTCTGCAAAATGGGGTTGAAGGGTTTGCAAGACAGAAACTCCAATTGCCTTTTACATATATATTATAATATATATGTAAGGAGTATTTCGGCTGGGCTGTTTTTAGAGTTGGCAAGGTCTTTTCTAGTTGCCCACTTTATATGCAGCTGCCCACTTATATATATATATATATATATA